CTTACTTGCAGAAGTGCCCCGATCAATGGACACTACCATGTGAGACAGCAGCAGGTTTCACAGAGAGAAGTAGCAGAGCAAGATTTTCTCTGGAACTTTCAAGGTAAACTAGAGAGAGGGGATGAACATGGTAGTCAGTTGACGTCTTTGCAGAAGGATTTCTTAGCCCATGCTATGTGGCTCCAAGACAGTGAGAGAGAACGTAATTTCACTTTAGAGAAAAAGACAAGGAGGAGCAGCTTTGAAGTTAATAAGCCTGTAGAAACCCAGGACAGGATGATTGAAAAGGACTTCCTGCATGTTTCACCTCAGGACAGAGATATTTATTATGAAGATGCAGCTTTGTCTGTTAATGATAAGGAGTTCACTACGTATGCAGTTTTGCATGGAGCAGAGGAGCATGATACGATCCATACAGATTCAGGTGAAATAGAATTGTCAGGCCAGGTTTTGGAACTTGATGATATTACATGTTGTCAAAATGGAGATTCAAAGCCCCCTGAATTTGATTTCTGGACTTCAGACACACAGATAGAACAAACCTTGGATGCAGTTTGCAACGGTGTGTTGTCTCATAAGGTAATTCAAAGCATAAATGCATGCTTCTTCTTTCTTTATTTAAATATTGCATTTATTGGTTTCTTCTGTAATTGTACCATGGATGTTTATGTTTTAATAATATATTCAAGAAGTTCTTTAAAATATTTACTCAACATGTTATTGGAAGGCAGAAATTGGTAAGATGGTCACTTTAGAAAATTGATTAAGGGCATCTTGTGACAGGGTTGATTACTTCCAGCTGTTCAGTGCATGGTTATTTAATGGCCAGATGGTGCCTGTTACCCTTCATTAAGCATGTTTCCACTGTACATTAATGTTCAACATCCCCCTCCTCTAAAAACACTCGCAGACTCTCTCTCTCTCTCTCTCTCTCTCTCTCTCTCTCTCTCTCTCACACACACACACACACACACATATGCACACACATATGCACACACACTAACACACACACCAGGGTTTGAGCAGCACAGAATCATTCAAGGGCAGATAGGCCTGGTTTATTCCTCTTCGAAGGATGCTGGAAATCCTGTGTATCCTTTCCTTGGAGTAAATGCCAGTGAATTTAGTGGTTCTTACTCTTCAGTTTAAAACTCCCATGATTGCACTGTTAATCATAATCTTGAGATAGTTGAAATTTCCACAGTGCACAAATCAAAGGCTTGCTGGATGTACTGAAATGCTTATTTTGAATCTGCACACCAGAATGTAGTTCTGAAATCGCATGTGATTTTGCAAGAAACCTTGTAGTGTTTACTGAGCAACAGTTGACGTGGGGAAGTAAGAGAAAAGCTTTGTAATAAGAGGTGCTTCTGAAGTCTGTAATCTTTATCTTTGGTCATTCTGGTTTGGTTGCATCTTATGTTATTCAAGGGCGTGTTGTTAAGCTGTTCGGGTAAACACTAACTGCAGTTCCTTCTTTGTGTGCACATTTTGGATCTAAAAACAGATTTGGAAGAGACACTTGGTTTGGAGTTTTATGGAGTTGTCTTTCAAATGTGCAAATTTCTTTTTTTGAAAAAGAAAGTGAGTGGAACTTGGATCCAGGGAACTTTGGGGTAGTTCAAAGGGCTTGAAGCAGAGTCTGGACTTGTATACCCCCACACACCAACCTCTTATTACACACAGCAGATTTCTTGCTAAACTAAAGGCAATGTCAGAAGTGGTTTATCATCAAGAACTGGGTAGTGTGTCAACCAATTAAAGAACAAAGATCAAAGTTGCCGCTGAACTAGCACTTCGAACCCAGCCTTTGTTGATACATACTGATTTATCAGGATAAAGAGAGGTTTCCTTGTTATGTTATTTTGTGAAAGAGGCAAGAGCCTGCTCCTTTTTATCTTGAAATACTGTATCCCTTAAACCTGGTTTACAAAACATTAAGCATGAGTGCCCATAATTATATTTGCTGAAAATACCAAAAACTCTAGTTCTTTTCTCACGATTGTATGCAAAATGGAAAAGCTGTCAGGTGTACCCAAAATGGCATTATTACACTGCCAAATATGACTTAATTCTGCAAGTTAGTGTAGTGTTCCCAGTTACTATTAGGACATTCTGCAGTCATAGTACCGTAAAATACTTTAAATACTTTAATCCCCCCCATCAGTTTCTTGTTTTTCTGATTGTAATTCCAGAAGTAGAATTTCTCCCTAGTAAAATGAAAATATGTTTGCATTTTGTGATATTTTCCTAATAGTGCACTTTGGATGCAGTTTTGTGTAATGTACATGTTTCATAAGGAATTTTCATAGCACAATGTACAGTGGGGTCTTGACTTGAGAACTTAATCCGTATTGGAAGGCGGTTCTCAAGTCAAAAAGTTCTCAAGTCAAATCTGCATTTCCCATAGGAATGCATTGAAAACCATTTGATCCGTATCTGCTCTTTTCCGTCCATAGAAACTAATGGGAAGCTGCTATTCCGCCTTCGACCACTAGAGGGGGATATTTTGTTTCTTTTTTTCTTAGGTCAAGAAAGGTTCAGGGAAGGCAGGGAAAATACAGTCCAGGCAGTCCAGTACCAGGCAGTCTGAAGACTGTCTCCCAATCCACTCTCTAAACACTGGGAGGAGTGAGGAAGCAGACAGGCACCCTTTTCACTGGCCAACAGTTAACTGAAAGTTCACATTTTGCACTTTCCCTGCCTCCCACGTGGGTTTTTTTCAGTTCTTAACTCAAATCTAAGTACTTAAGTCAAGTCAATATTTTCCTATGAGAGCGGTTCTTAAGTCAAAATGTTCTTAACTCAAGCCGTTCTTAAGTCAAGACCACAATGTACTGTATTTTATCTATTATTTCTACAAATACACACATTTTTGCATGCATGCTTCCAACCTACATATTTTGTATGCATTTTCATTGGAGAAACCCATTGCAAAGTTAGTAGAACTGACAATTTTAAGAGATAATCAAATTTCAATGTGAGTTTCAAAAGTGAAAAATTAATCACTTCATATTAAAATATGAACCAAACACACATCCCCCATCCCTAAAATAGAAAAAAAAATCCCCATATGTTTACCACTTGCCTAATGTGAAGATTTACATGTCTTGACCCATCAGCAGATCCCTCTTGGCTCGGTTTATAACTTGTTCAGGGGTTGGAGTGGGGGAGGTGTCTCTGCACACTACTTTCTCCTGTGCAGTAGACTTAATTATAATTATTTATAAGAAAAATATTGCATTGAGTTTTGATTTTTATATATAAGGAAGTAATTTTTCAGACTTTTAAAATAAACATGTTTATATACTAAGTTTCTGCTTTCAAGATGGCATGGAATGACCAGCCACTTTGATATGCAAATCATGTCTTCAACTTTGAAGGAGAAACAGATGAAAGTCCAAATGATATATAATAAACATGTGTGTGGCCATGATATTGCCTGAACAGTTTAGGGTTTTAATTTATGGCTCAGATGTCAGGAAAACTTTCCTTTTCAGATTTTACCAGTAACCAGGGTATCCTAGATTACTTGTGCACCAGTTTTCAGTTTCTTAGGTAGAGTGAAAGTATTTTGGACATTTGTCTATTCTTTATTCATAATTTGGTGCAGAACATTTTCAGTTGGTTCCCTTTGCATGTCCTCAGATGAACTTTGTTTAAGTTGGTAGGTTGAGTTGGCCTAAATATTTGTTTCCATTGTGATGATGCCATCCTCTGAAGTGTGTTGCAATTTCATGCCAAAATGGTTTTGGATCCTGTGTCAGTCTTTTCTAAAATAACAATGTAACCGTTACTAGACTCATCATATAAGGACAATAACACTGTTCAGACCTTTGAAAGTTTCTTTTAAAAGGTGGTTAAAAGGTGGTTTTAAAACCTACAAAAATAAGTTAGTAATAATGTAGATGAAGTTTTTAAAAAAATAATTGCATTGGCCCAGTGGCCCAAAAGCCAGAGAATGCTACAGACTGCTAGCATGTGGTACAAAGCAAAATCTCCTCCCATCGTCTTGGTTTCACTGCAATGCCCACAACAGCACTTGAAGCAAGCAATACAGGCCAGCACTTGAACCATGTGCTGTTCCTTTGGTGAGATGATACCCTTGAAACTACAAAGGTAACCAAAATACTGTATATGTTTCTACTGTGAGAGGAATAAAGTCATACTTCAGTAAGTTACAGTCACCATGTAATATAACCTATTAGGGGGAAAACATTGGAAGTAATTTGTTATTTGTAACTGGTAGTTATTTCTGAGCTTGGGTATTGGTCTAATTCCTTAGTCACTATATCAGTTTATTCCTTGTGCAATTACTAAGAACCAAGTCCTGAAGTTCCTCTGGGTACTTCTATACCACAGTTGTCCTCAAGTCCTTGATTCTTCCAGTCTTCAGCCATGATGTGGGGGAGGGGGAGAATGCCCTTCCTGCCCTGTTTGCCCAGCATTACATTGATCTTTTGGTCTGTAGACCCCACAGATATCAACACCAGTTCCTTCTATCAGAGGTAAAAGCACAGGATCATCTTTGAACTGCAGCTGTGTAATTGACTACTTGACCCACTACTACTAGTGCTGATCTCAAGAACAGAGCTGATATTTCATATTGCCAAGCTTTAAACCTTTCCTTTTTAAGTACTTCATAACAAACAAACCGTGATCTGTTCATAGGACTTTGGATTATTATTACCTTGATGTCTGGGGACAAGGTTAACCATTTCCATAACATTACATAGCCCACGAAGAATGGGCCATGGGGATAGATGTTCACGTGTAGAAGTCACAGAAAAATCAGTGACTTTTCAATCCTTCAATCTTTAGACTACTGTTTTTCTCAATATATAATCTTCAACCTGCAATTTTGACATGTTCTGTAGCTAAATGCTATTTTGACACTATGCTCAGTAGATATTGTGTTTTTTAACTCATCTCTGCTCTTATACTCTGCATGTTCTAGACTTAATAGTCTACATGTGTCTTTGTCTTTTCGTTGCCCACAGGTATTTGAGAAAGAAAAGATTGAGCCATTGCAGGTTAAGCAACAGGAGGTAAATTGGTTGGGGCAAGGCCTCATTCAGAGTGCTGCTAAAAATGCCAGTACTGAAAACCTTGAGCATGATCTTGAGGATGTTAACACGAGATGGAAAACTCTCAACAAAAAGGTAGCTATGTTGTATTTTTCACTATTCTCAGTTTATTTCTTTTCTTTTGTTCTTATTTCTTGTTCTCAGTATACAAATACAGGTAGATGTTTTTGTGGAAGGCCTTTGGAGAAGCAAAAAGTGTATTTGCCCCAGTCTGAAGCTTACTTGCTATTTCTTATTTAGTTTGTTTCCTGTATTTACTCATGTGAGTCCAAAGCAGCATAAATCTCTCTTCTTCCCCACTTTATCCTCACAACAACCCTGCGAGATGGGTCATACTGAAAATATATGACTGGCCCAGTGCCATCCTGTGAGTTTCATGGCTCAGGGAGCATTTGAACCCAGATATCCTGAGTCCTACCTAGTTCAACACTCTAACCACTGTATGATACTGCTATACCCACATGTGTTCTTGTGCTTATGCAGAGCTCCTGCAGAAGCAGACTGTCTTTGACCATGTGATATTATTTAAATTATGTAGGGGAAATTAGGGAATAAAATGTTATAGGAAAAAGGTTCCTTATTACTGTTAATCGCTAACTAAGACTGCAGGGAATAGCTCTCACAGCTTTCTGTATTATGCCATTTGGAGAGAGATAGGTAGATATTTTCTCTGTGTTCCAGCTAAAGCTACAAATATGAAAGGGTTTTGAGTTGGTAGCTGTGTAGTTACGTTACGTCGAAAACAAGTTTCTTCTAGCGCTGTACAGTTTTATTAGGAATAACCCTTCATGGACTGCAGTCTTTCGTCAGGTGCCTGGAGTTTTACCCGGGTAGGCAGTTCCATGTTTTCTGATGACATGCTGTAATCTGTAAAATCTTATGCCAATAAGACTTAGTCTTAAATGTGCCACAAGAACCTTTGTTGTATGTGAAAGAGGCCATGTGTTTTTGAGGATTAGTTGAGCCTCACTAGACATACATACTCTGCACTTGGTGAACCTGATGCTTTCCAGGTACAGAATAATGTTAATAATGTTTACTAGAGATGGGGGTATTTGTATGTGTATACAAATACATGTGGACATAATTAGGGTCTGTGAGCTCCAAATCGATAGGAAGGGAGCCCGGAGCCAGCAGCAACAGAGGAAGGTGAGTGGACGGTCCGGCCCCAGGAGGCTGGACCCTCATTATGTCCACCTGTGCGGGGGTATTCGTATATGGATACCCCCATCTCTAATGTTTACACCTGTGCCTAACTAATGTGAAATGCTTCCCTAGTTGCACAGATATCACCTATTTAGTGAAGGCTTACATAAATCAAAAGTGCTAGATTAAATTCTTACCTTACCTTAAAATATCTTATTTTCGGGGGTGGGGTTTGAAATTAAACAAAAACAATGGCATTTATGATATTTGAATGTGTTTGGGTTTATAGGTGGCTCAAAGAGCAGCCCAACTGCAAGAAGCATTACTACATTGTGGGAGGTTTCAAGATGCTCTTGAATCTATACTTAGCTGGCTCATTGACACTGAAGACCTGGTGGCTAATCAAAAGCCTCCATCTGCCGAGTTTAAGGTGGTGAAGGCCCAAATACAGGAGCAGAAAGTGAGTGGAAGTTTTCTGTCTCTCATCATATATTTCTGCTATTTTCTTTAGCACATTTTCAAGGGGCTGTTTTGCTGAATGGCTGATAGTGTGACAGAGGTGCAGTTGTAAGAGCCCATGAAAGAATGCCCTCACTCTGTTACTTCACTGCACCTGTCACTTAGATGGGATCAACTAGATAATGGGAAGAACAGAGAGAGAGTTCTCAGGTTGAAGAGGGATAGAGGACAGCAGAGCCAAACGCAGAGAAATGACCAGCCTTTGCTAATCCAGCCCAAGAAGAACTTTTAGGGACTTGTCTGCTCCTTACTGCTTTTTGAAATGCTGTGTTTATTATTATTGAGGAACCCAGACAAGCACTATAACTTTATTTATTTGCTTGTTTATATATTTGCAACATTTGTGTTCCATCTTTTCTTCATTCAGAGAACTCCATTCAACATAGCTCGGAAGTGACTGTTTACACATAATACTATTACTTGTGATTAGTTATTTTTGGGTAAATCATTGCGTAAATAGTAGGTGCAATATTACTTTTTCATTGTAAAGAGATATGCCTAAGTTACTTGTGTGTAACAAGTGATATCAAGTTACTTTCAAATGTTACTTTATAAGGGCATTTTAGGGCTTTGATAAAGCCATTTTTAAAGGTTTCATGCCATTCTCTTCTGAATCCTAAAGAAAGTATTTTTGGTTTTGTCCTTCTATTTTTAGAAATATTTCCATGCTGAAGTATCAGAATTGGCCTCTAGACAAAACCAGACAGTATTTTCCTGTTGTTTTTTGGGTTGTTGTTATGGGCAACACAACACATCAACAGCACACAGTGCAATTAATTGCTTACTTAATTGGAGTAATGTTAAATAACCTGGCTGCTGAGAAGTAATGAATAATGCAAAATACTATTTTAAAAACCTGACATTCCAAGCTCTGCATGGCAACATATGTGGGGGTTTCTGCATGGTTTCCTGTTAGGCAGTGAGGAGCCTCAGATGTCTTGAGCATTGAGCAATATTGCACGGTAGGAGCATGTTATAGGTAAGCAGATTTTATTCACTTCATTCAGACAAACTGAAGTATGTTTAGATTGTGGGTGGAGAGCAGGGCTCTGTGTAATGTAGCAGAACTTTAAAGCATGTAAGCAATCACTTGATTAGGCCAGTTTTTTATGTGTTGCAGAGAAAGACCTGAAATACCTTATAGGTTCATTTATACTTAGGTGTAAAGGAAAAATATACTTTGAGAGTGAAAGCAATCTTATCTTTGAAAATGTAACACAGAGATGGTGAAATATCGTATATTTCCCCCAGTAAAGTTATGCCTGTAGGCTGAAATGCATTTCATAATTGCATTTAGGCTTTAGCCCAGCCCCCATTCCTTGTACATGCATCTGCTGCTCAAGGTGGGGGCAGATGAGCCTTTCTATTACTTGGATTGTGTTTCTCTCTGCAGCTGAGATTAGATAGGGATGAAATCTGTGTCTGCTTTCCCCTCCCACTCCTTCACCTTCTGTTGATTTTGGTCCATGTAGAGAGTTTTATAGACTCTAAGTTGTGGGACCCAGTACCCTTCAACATTTTTATTTATGACTTGGATGAGGGAGGGATACTTACCAAACTTGCAAATGACAAAATTGGGGGGGGGGCTAGCTAAATGCCTTGGAAGACAAAAACATAAATCAAAAATATGTTGATAGACTGAAGCACTGGGCTGAAAACTTAGAATGAAATTTAACAGGGACAAGTGCAAGTTCTACATTAGGAAAAAAGAAAAAAGAAACACACAGAAGATGGAGGATACTTGGCCCAGCAATACTATATGTGAGAAGGATCTTGAAATTGTTGCAGATCACAACAATGTGATGCAGCTGCAAAAAAGATAAATGCTATTTTAGGCTGCATTAAATGACATATAGTATCCAAAACATGGGAAGTTCTAGTTCCCCTGCAATTAGCACTGGTTAGGCCTCATCTTGTGTACTGTGTCCAGTTCTTGATGCTGCACTTTAAGAAGGATGCCGGCAAACTGGAACAAGTTCAGAGAAGGGCGATAAGGATGATCAAGGGATTGGAAACCAAGCCCTATGAGGAAGGCCTGAAAAAACTGGTCATGTTTAACCTTAAGAAAAAAAGGTTGAGGGGAAGATATGATAGTACTTTTCAACTACTTAAAAAGTTGTGATATAGAGGAAAAGCAGAATCTGTTCTTGATCATCCCTGAGCACAGGACACACAAGTTATAGGAAGCCAGATTTGGGCTGAATATCAGGTAAAACATGCTAACTCTTAGAGCAGTATGAGAATGGAACCAATTACCTGAGGAGGTGGTGAGTGCCTCAACACTGGAGGCATTCAAGAGAAAGTTAAACAACCATCTGTCAGATCTTCTTGGATAGCTGCATTGAGGGAGGCATTGGACTCGATGGCCTTACAGGCCCCTTCTAACCCCACTATTCTGTGATTCTCTTTTGAATCAGCATAACAATCTGGTTTGTCAGCTATCCACTGTATCTTCATTTCCAACACTCCCTGTCAAATTTTACAAGAAATGTAACATTGCAGGTAGAGAATTACTGTATACTTTTATTTTTTTTTACATTAAATAGCAAATTGTCAATAGTAGACTAAATATGACACCTGAGGCTCAGCAAGGCAATCCATCACTTTGTTATTTAAAATAAATGTAATGATGAGGAAACAGCAGGCTGTAGCATGTATAGCATCAAAGAAATAGTTTTCTTCAAGAGAGTTAACAAAAAGCAGGAGGAGGGTGTGGATTTGGCTGAAACATCCATTAGAACTCTTGCTGAAGAGGCCCTGCATGATTTTTAGTCAAGCTACCGGGACAGATGAGCAGCTAAGGATACAACTCTGCATGACAAAATGTTATTTGAAATTATCATTCATATATATTGAAATTTAGTTTGGGGCAGAGAGAACCTTAAACATGCTGGCTTTCCCCTTAGCATGTTTAGGAGTCAGGTACATGGACATGTCCTGTGTTGTGTTCCATTTTTTCCTGGAATACATCAAGTAGCTGCAAGTTGTCAGTGTACTGAAGGTATGCTTTAGGAGTCAGAATGTAATGCAGGATGTATGTGAAAATACAGTACCCACTCCCCAGAAAGGCTTATGCCCACATTTAGAGTCTTTGGTCTTGCTTTCCCATTTTGATGTGCTTTCTCATTATCCTCATGCTCTTCACAAATTTTTTTTTGTATTTGCCGTAATGTTGTCTGTAAAGTCTTAGGATGGCATGCCTAATAATGTAAAATATTTATTATTTAAGTTCTGGTGATTATGCACTAATGAGCATATGTACATAACGTGCCATGTCAAATGGAAAGCACATGAAAGCAAAGGTTTGGTCAGGCAGGTGGATGAGATATGACTGCTCCTGCATTCATTGACTTGTGTATGTGTCAGCCTACTCCTTTGCCAGCAAGTAGTTTGGCAGCAAGAGAGGGTGCCTGGCCAGGCCCTGCCTTCCACAGTGCACTATAAATCTTGTTGCCACATCGATGTGGCCCTTTTCACCTTGAGATTACAACTGTGTGGCAAGGGAAGGACTTTTCTTCCAGCAACCGGATTTGCCTCGGGCTCCTCCACTTGCCAATCTGATGATCTTGATATTTCTTGAGAGATTGATTCTCCAACTAGCATTTTAGTTTGCATATTTTTATTTGACTAGGCAGATCTGTTGTGGTTCAATTTTACTTTTTTTTTTTTTAGCATGGCTAGGGTCACTCCTGCACCTTGTAGAAAGCAAAGCTTAGTGAGATTCTCTTTTGTGAGTGATTCAGTGTTCCATTATGTATTTTTTCTGTAAGTGTAAGCCTAGTACTGTACTTCATAATAATTAATTAATCTATGCACATCTGTAACCCACCCTGAGCTTTCACTATAGCATAGAATAGAAATCTAAATAAAAATAGGAACTGGGAGCAATGCAAAGCGCTAGATACTAACAGCTGACATTAAGATTGGTTCAGTTTGCCATCTGTAACAGTGTATTCCTTAAATAAACAATTGGTGGTATTTGCATTGTTATTCTACATCCTAATAATTTCCTGCTGTCTCTAAAAATTGTTCTCGTCAATCTGTTCCCTATGCCAATAAACCAGAGTTGAAGATTCTGCCTTCATCGTATTTTTACAGCCTTGGAAAACAGTCCTTCCTTGACTATTTGATTTTTGATTATTTTGTCTGCAGCTTCTCCAGAGATTGCTAGATGATCGCAAACCCACTGTTGAATTGATCAAGCGTGAAGGGGGGAAAATCGCAGAGTCAGCAGAGCCTGCTGATAAAGAGAAGATCTTGAAACAGCTGAGCCTCCTGGATAGCAGATGGGATGCATTGCTTGATAAAGCAGAAACAAGGTACTTGAAATGTTTTCATTCATTTAGGGGTTATAGCAGGGGGTATGCCTAGTTGCAGCATGGAAGATGATGTAATTTGAAGCTATGTGAGCATTTTCATTTTGCTGATCTTAAGACTGGGGTTTTGAACAATGCAAATGGGTTTGAATCGAATCACATATTTTAGCTTGAACAGATGTCATTGTGAAGATCTCGTGAAATCAATGTCCAACATAATTGCACCATAAGTCAGTAAACAGATGGATGTCCAGCACGTGGACATAGTGACCTCCCAAATGGGACTAAGGAGGAGGTGGGAGTGGGGTCCTTTGTGCTAAGAGAGTTCCCCAAAGTATGCCAAAAAGGTTTTAAAAAGTGAAACAATAATCCACCTTAGCTCTGTCCAAAACCAGAACTGGCAGGCTCCAGCATCCTATACAGGTGTTCAGAATGGGGTTGATTTGAACTTGTGAACAGAAGTCACACTGGCCATGTGACCACGGAAGATTGTCTTCGGACAAACACTGGCTCTGTGGCTTGGAAACGGGGATGAGCACCGCCCCCTAGAGTTGAACACGACTGGACAAAAATTGTCAAGGGGAACCTTTACCTTTACCTTTACAGAAGGAGCAGCCCCCACCTCTTATCTTTTCTCATACAGTTGGAATGCAGAGTTTCTACACATGAAGTTATTTCCATGCAATTGGAAATTGATTTTTCAGGACTTTAGATCACATAGGAAACCCCAGTGGCTCTCCTCTTCAGGTTTCTCTCTATATACATGAGAGCTATAGTGGAGTTTCCTCCCTCTTTCTGCTCATGGTTTCAGATTGACCTTTTTATTAAATGAAGTATTGACATGTATGCTATTCTAGTGGTCTCTATAAACAGTGGCTGCAGACCAGCATAGGTGCCAACTCTGAGCCAAAGAAAGAGAAGAATTGGCTAAAGTGTATTAAGGGAAGTGGTTTAGCAAAGCTTGGTGCCGAAGTATATTGTGAGCTGTGGCTTCTCACAGTCAACTCTTTCTCCCATCTACCATCACCCTGCAAATCATTCATTTATGATGGCAAATAATTCAGTCATCTTTCAAAGGAAAAGGAGTGGTCTCTGTTCAAGGAAGAGAAATGGTCTCAAAAATATGCATATTTTAAGCGCACATTGTGTAAGCATGCAACCAGCTACTGGCCCCTGCTGAACGTGCTGCAGTTTTTTTTCCTACAGCAACGTTCTTCTCAGGTCAGTTTGGTCAGAAGACCTGCGGCAGGTGTCTGCAGATCTGGCTTTAAGGAGCCAAGAGCTTCCCATGTGTAAGTAGGCTTCTGGAACAGCAATTTACTGTGTCAGAAAACATGCCCATAAAGGAGATAAGTAGCCAGATGTGTATCCAGGTCTGGAAACAATCTATCTGCACTGCATTGCATTCACTGACATATATTCAGAATATAGGGTAGGATGTGTGTCCAGAGTTTTTAAAGGCATTGGTCAGTTCACAGGAGGATAGAGTAAGATACCGTACTTCATAGGAAGTAAGGCATAATTGCTTGTCCCAGACACTCCATCCTCCACATCCAGATAAAAGTCGCACAGGCAAGAAAAACCACGTGAGATAATGTATAAGCAAGCATAGTTTGTGACATTGTGCCTATGTCATTAATAATCACAGGACACATCTGTTAAAAGCATGAGCCTTAGCTTCAGCTTCCCTGGCTTTGTGTAGCCTGAGCTGTCATCCATCACAGTTACTTTAGAGCTTGTCTACACTGGTTCTTTTGGAATTGTTATGCCTTTTGGCGAGATCTTCACAGATTTACCCTCCCACAAATGGAAGAGTACTTCCATCTCAGCTGGGAAATCAGTGCTACCCCATGTAGAGCATGTTATAGTAATCGAAATGGAATGTAGCTAAAGGATGTGTCACCATAGACAAATCAGACATCTCCAGGAATGGATGCAGTTGGTGCACCAGCTTTATTTGTACAAAGGCTCTCTTGGCCACTTCTGAACTTGGGCATCCAGGCTCAAGGATGAGACTAATATGCCCAAGCTGTGAATCTGAGTTTCCAGGGGGAGTATAACCCCATTCAACGCAGATTGAATCCCTTTAACCTCGTCTGTCAGTTGACCCATGAGCAACTCCATCCTGTCTGGATTAAGTCTGAATTTTGTTTGCCCTTATCCAGACTGAATATTAGTCCTGTGTTCAATTCTCCCAACCAAAAATATTTAAACCCAAACCTGTGTCCTGATGTTGTGAATAACTATATTTTATTCCTCCTTTTTGGCGTAGCATTGACATCTCAGCACATAGATTATGTACAAGTCAAACATCATAGAAATTGATATAAAATAGTGCCTTGGAGATTCTATTTTCAGGAGGAACTCTTTGGTTTTTGTCATTCATTGTTCTGTCCATTGTACTCGTGCTTTTAATTTAGTATAGTATTAGTGCTTATCATGAACGCTTCACCTACTATTGTTTGTTCTTTGTAGTTAATTAAAATAAGAGTAGTTAAACGTAACATAATTCAACATGTGTCATAAAATCTTGTTTTGTTGGGCATTCTGATTCAGTTTTTATTTCTGAACAATGATTTTATTGAAGTATTTCATATGTACCTCATCTCAAAATGTATTTTTGTTCTTGACCTCTTGTAGGAATCGCCAGTTGGAAAGTATCTCAGTTGTGGCCCAGCAGTTCCATGAAGCTTTAGAACCATTGGTGGAATGGCTCACTGCCACAGAAAAGAGGCTTTCAAATTCAGAACCCATTGGTACACAGGCTTCCAAACTACAAGAACAGATTTCTCAACATAAAGTAAGATCTGAATATGGCATTCATTCAGACAATTTTATTCTATTTGTTCATTCAGAAAAATTGTAAACTCCCCTCCCTCCATTTTGCATTAGTTTGTTTATACACTACCCTGTCATTTGAAATCATTTTGTTTCTGTTGACTGCCAGTGTATTCATGCATTCTTATTTGGTTATGTTTTTATTTGTTTTTCTTTTCTCCCCCACCCCCTTTATTTCCATTTACCATATTTTATGTGCTGCTTTGAAAACTCAATTTAGACCTTAGAGGAAGACATCACCACTCACAATAAAAACTTGCAGCAAGCTATTTGTATTGGTCATGCTTTAAAGACTTTGAGCTCCAGAGAGGATAAAGAAATGGTCCAGGAGAAACTAGATTCTTCAGAGGCTCGGTATACTGAGATTCAAGAGAAAGGCAACAGTAGGGCTGGGCTTCTTCAACAAGCCTATTGCAATGCTCAGATTTTTGGAGAGGATGAAGTTGAACTGATGAATTGGCTGAATGAAGTGCATGAAAAACTGAGCAAGCTGGCAGTCCAAGACTACAGTACTGACTTACTAAGGAAGCAACACTCTGAAATACTGGTATTTATATTTATTTTCTGTTGACTTTATTTTACCATTATTATCACTATTATTTAATTTTAGGATTTCTTTTTTCCTTTTATACTTTGTCATAGATTCATTATTTTCCCACTCCACTTCCTGTTAAGATAGGACATATGGTATCTTACAGAATAAAAAGATTTCCAGCTGTAACATTTTTGGTTATGTGTATGTATTTCAAAGATCTATGGTTTCTTAGGTTCTTCAAGAAGAGATTCTGCTCAGAAAGCAGAATGTTGACCAGGCTATACAAAATGGTTTGGAGCTCCTCAAGCAAACTACAGGTGAGAGCCATGGAAAAGAATCATTTAAAGTAATACAGACACATAAAAATTTTTGATGGATGGCAGCTCTTTTGAGATCCTAACTCTAATCTTTTCAGAAAGGAATATTCTACTCATAGCTGATACGATATATTTTAAATCGTTTTTTACTTGTGTGCTGCTAGCAAGTAAGAAGGAGGCAATGTTAATTGATAGTCAAAAGACATGTGTTGGCTATTGCAGTTCAGATTTCACCTCAACCATGAACTTACCCTCTGGGAAGTCACTGCCTGTGACCCTAAGGTCTTCATTTGTGATTTGAGTTAATGGAGGGATCCTATATGTAAGCTTAATGTATTGTAGGTGAGCTTATGAACTTACCATCACACTGGAGAGGGGGGGTGACATGTGGCCCTCAAAATTGTAGGGGTCAACTTATTAGACTACCACTACCATTAGTCCAAGCCAATATATCTAAGAATGGGGAATGCTGGGAGTTACAGTCCAGATGACTGCATTGTGCTCATGTTTGTAAGTGAAGGAAAGTGCCTAGCCTTGGTGGGATCATGCCCATAGAGCCCTGCATGTGGAGGCATCTTCTGTGTTCTTTCATGAGGAGGTTTGTTACTCTCTTCTTCAATAGAAACACAGTTGTGCTCCCCTTTAAATTATGAATAGTCACAGCTTACCTGAGTCATAGTATACATAGACCGTTAATGTTATGCGTTCCTTACATATACCATTTGTTACTATATATGAGAAAAGAATGTCTTGGACAAGCTGTGTCAGAAAAAAATTGGATGTAGATGCTCAGAAGAATCAAAGCAGACACAAGGAATTCTGACAATCTTTGTTTCCCTTGTACTGATCAAAGCTCTCAGCTTCTCCTGCCACAACCACTTCCCACCAAAGTTAATGTGGAACAAGGGAAGGTGCAAGTGAGTGGCTCCATTGCCTAGCAAATCATCTTTTCCGGAATGATTCTTAGGCAGGAAACTGATTTTTAAGAGCTTATTTGGGGGAGTCTTCTTTCTGTCCAGTGGAAATAATTCAAAAATAACTGCTTTCCTTTCAGGGATTCTAGGTGTCATGATCCATGCAGTCCCAGAGTGCTATATTTTCTGCCTGGGACTGGAAACACCCATCAGGTGTTTCCTTACTCTGTCCCCCAAGTTACAGAGGAAAGCAGTAGGAAAAAGTTTTTTAAAGAGGTAGAGGAGGGCTTTGTTTGGTAGTGTGGAGGAACTGTAGGGCTCCTGTAAATATTCCATCAAACATTCTGAAAAACTCACAAGGATCTTCAACAGCAAAAATGAAACAAAAATCAAAATTAAAACTTTACGACAACTTTATGTTGTTATTAAGCATCAGACCAGAATAGTTAAAAAGTTTCAGCATGTGACACACACACACCCTTCTACTTTGAATGCCCATGGTTCTGGAAGAAGTGATTATAGTTTTCATGAATCCATATTCAGAAACCATTTTTAATAGCACCTTAAGTCAACAGTAGTTTTCTTTTTTGTTTATAATCTTCCAAAATGTGCCTTTTGATCTCACTTAGGAAACCTAAGGAGATAGGCCACTTTAATAGCTTATATTAGTTTTTTACAGTGCCCATTTATCCTTTGAATACTATGGGTTTTCTTTTTCATTCTCTGTTTTTCTCTTATCTTTTTTCATTGGAGTCTTGGAGCCAAATTAGAGGGCTTAGCAGAAAAAAGCTGTAGTAAAATATGAAATAGCTGAGTGGTTATTCCCCCTGTTGATGTAACTGGCTGGTTCCCTCACAGCAATGTTAGTACTGTGGGAACGTTGCATTCCAGAGGCACACAGCACGTCTGGTTTGTAGACCAACATTTTCTAAATTTTCCAGTCTCTAACTCCATATACCCTCCAAGATATACATATTTTGGGGCTGGGATGGAGGAGAAGGGGAGATGTATTTCATATTAAGAACTTAGTGTGTTCACTAAAAGTGTTTAGATTATTGTGAAGAGTGCAGTTTTTTATTTTATTCTTTGTATGCATGGGTGACTGAACACGGTCATTCAAAGATCACAGTATAGTGTTCAGAGACTATTAGAAATATGTACCCTGATTAGACATGGGGTATTTATATTCGTATCCTGGGGGTTGCACATAGCCGGGGGAAATGAACACAAAAATTGTTACCACAGATGCCTGATGAAACTGGACCTTTGTTCCCGAAGTGGCAGGTTCACTTACCACTCTCCCCATGGTGCACATGGCCAGCGTCGTTCTCATCACACCAGTCCAGGAAGCAGCCTGGCCTGCATCTCCAGCCACTCAGCAGCTGCGCAGGGAGATTTGTCATCCCGTCTCCATGCTGGAGTGGTTGGCAGTACACAGAGGTGGGGAAACACTGGCCAGGCTGCTTCCTGGATTAGCACAATGAGAATGACACTGTCTGTGCATGCCATGCAGAGGGTGGTTAGTAGACCTGCCGGTTCTGGGGGAGGGTCCAGTTTAGCCAAGCCCCTGTGGTGCCAATATTTGTATTCTTTCTCCCTGGCATATGAATATGAATACCCCATGCCTAACCCTGATCCACAGATCTGTTCATGAGGAGAGGTGCTCTGACATCCATTGGAGAAATTGAAGGAGGTGGCTATTCATTTTATTGACTGTAGCCAATCAGTAGATGCAAAGGAATGTGGGTATACAACCAACTCCTTTCATTGGAAGAATGTGAAAGGTGTTCAATCTAGGCAATAAAATTGCAAATAAAATAAATAAATAAATAAATAAAGAGCGAGCATGCTGAAATTTCTGACCAAAAAGAAAAGTCAAGTGGGTGATGGAGCAAGATGATCCATCGTCCATTAGACTGTTAGGTTATTTGCTTTCACCTTTGCAGTTGCTTTAGCCACTGTTTTTATTTGTGCACTGATACCTCTTTCAAAATACAGGTGATGAAGTTGTCATAATTCAGGACAAATTGGAAGGCATTAAAGCACGATACAAGGACATCACAAAGCTCAGCTCTGATGTGGCCAAGACTTTAGAACAGGCTCTACAGCTTTCAGATCAGCTGCAATCAGTTCATGAGAAACTCTGCACTTGGCTTGACAAAGTGGAGGTAGAATTACTTTCATATGATTCCCAAGTCCCGAAAGGGAAAGAGATGAATCAAGTGCAGGAAAGACATAAGGTAAGATAAGACACGAAAGATGCTGAGTCCATTTCTTTAACACACTTCTTTTGCAGAGATGATTTTTTACCACTTCATCCACATTTCTGGATTTTTCCACCCGGCCCCCTTCCATCACACTTCTGAGGCTGATTAAAATAGAAAAGACACCGGTTTTATGAGATTAACAACCTGATTCTAAACATGAGAACCATGTGACTGACAACCAGATGCTAAGCATGCTTATACAAAAGTGAATCCTAGTGTGTTGTTAAATAAGTACAGAGCTTGATACATATTTTAAAAAATCAATGCGTTAGTTGTGACTATTAGTTTTATGCTATTTTACTATTCACATATTATTTTGTTTGTAGTAGCATATTGTTTTTATTCTCCAGCCTTAAATAAGGAAATGCCAAAATATACCCCTGTTTAAAATACAAAGACTGAAATCCTGTTGCATGCTATATAGGTAAAGGCAAAAGGTATATCATTTACTCACTTCTAGCCAGCAATTGAGGAGTGGCCATTGCAATTCTCAAGGGTATACATGCCTGCTACTTCAGCTTGTGCTCAAGAATCCCAATGATAGCTCTTGAATTGCAGAATACTGTATAAATGAGTGAATTTTACAATTTTTGCCTTCTTCCTGCATTTCAGCCATTGAATTTGGAGGTAACAAGTAAGCATTGCTTGCTTTACCAGTTCACACTATATGCGTATCAGTGTTAATATAAAAATATAGGGGAAAGGATTTTCTTGCTTCTAAAAATAGCATGTCACTGGTAATGTTGTGCTTTTTAAAGTTCTGAATAAGCATATGTGTAACTGAGAATGAATGTTTTAACTACTTTCCATAAAACAGATTGAGTAAGTAACATGAGCACTGTTGGGCTAGAATGCCACTCTTTCCTGGGACCATTCTATTGAATCTGACAGGACTGCAGAGTACATGTGCATAGGCTTGCACTCTAAAAGTGTCAGTAGAATTTGGAGTTACTTTATAAACATAATTAGTTGAGTTGTCATTCTAAGACCCCCAAAATAGTTGGTTGCCATTATAGTTACATTTTTAAACCAGCAATTTGATACTTCCTATTTCTTCTAAACTGGTTAGTTTAAAGCTGCTTGGATAGCTTAGTGAGTTAAAGTACTAGGGATGAAAGTTTGATTCACCACTCTGCCTCCCAGGAGAAAAGCCAGCCTGTGTTGTCTTGGGCAAGATGCCCAGTCCTAGATTGGCATCAAAAGAAGGGCCTGGATAATTATGAATACTTTATACCAAAGAAATCCTGGCAAAGATCACCATACATTAGAATCTACTTGATGGCACATAATTATTACTTAATTAATTTTAATCACTTTTGGTGGGAGATTTTATGGTGCAAGCTGTTTGCCTGAAGTACAAATTACATTCTTCTTCGTGGTCTCTGTGAATGCACACGAATGGGTTAAATGCGCCTGCGCAGGACACTTCGGAATATTCTAGAGCTTAAATAACTGACCAATAGAACATTCCCCCATGGTGTGCATGCCCCGCCCGCCTGTGGTACCTCAGTTCCACAGGAGGTAGTTAAACATAAAAAGGCTAAACAGCCTTCTAAGTCTGTTCAACCAAAGGAACTTCCTCCAGTTCGAGGCACCCTGCCCTCACCGATAATCCAGGACTCTTCCAGGGAGCTTCATGATCCCGAATCACTTTCTGAAGGGGATGGCTTTGTACCGCAGCCACAGGCACAGGCTTCAGTATCGATTCCAAGCCTGTCTCCGAGTCATGGCTGTTCTGTGGCTGATGTAATCTTTAGCCCATTCGAGCCCTATGTCAATCAGGTGGGCAAGAGTGATTCAACTGTCAAACTCGGAGGTGTCACTACAAGAATCCCCTCTATGTAAGCGTCTGGTAAAGCGTTGGCATATTTCTCCAGGCCAACAACTCCCTCGGCATTGGGAGGTTATAGTTCTTCCACATCTATCTCGGTGGCATGCTTTCACTGACTATGAAGAGACCCTTTATGTGGAAATTGATCAGCTTGGCAGTCGATGTCGGTACCATGGGGACGATATTGATTCCTTTTATGATATCGATGACTATGTCAGGCCCAAGAGGGTATGATATGTCTATGCTTCCCCATCTGGTTCATCTCCATTGTCTTCACTGCCTCAACGTTGGCATCGAGCTTATCTCCTACTCAGCCCTATGGACTCGAAGCCTGTTAATAAGCACCATTTACCACAGCAGGATCTGCAATCCTCACGTCCTGTGAAGCGGTATCAGGCTCCATCGATACTATCATCCTCTGTATCCCATCCAAGTCATCTCACCTGGCTGCATCTTCTAGAACTGCTTATCCACGTGGCATGGAGACCTCCGCACCAGTTTCCCGAGCCCCAGCCTCCATATCGAGATCTCATCCTCATTCACCTTCACCACCTCTGTCTCTTAATAGATGATCCAGAGCTTCTTCGGTCTCATTGGTCTCTGAGCAGGACCTACCTTTAGAGGCTTCTAGGGAATCCCCCTCAAATTTACCTATATCTGATTTGGATGTTGCTGATATACATCCCTCATCTCTCTCCAAAGACTTTACATCATATTCTAAGTCAATTCTATGCATGGTCAAATCGCTGGAACTTGATATAGACCAACCTTGCCCCCCCCCCCAAGCAGGACCTTGTTTTTGATGATATAAACCAAGATTAATCCCCCCTTTGAGTTTGGCTTTTGTTCCATCTATGTTGGACCTCATTAAAGAATTATGGAATCAACCATCTACATATCTTCATATCTCTAGGCATGTTGAAAACCATTACAGGACACATGACAATGACATGACCTTTCTCAATAAGCATCCTGCGCTGAATTCAATTATAGTGCAGTCCAATCAATTGAGGGCAAAAAAAGTCACCCATACCAATAGGGAAGACTGCAGACTAGATGTACTGGGCCGTCGCTTATACTCTCTGGCTTCATTTGTAATGGGAGTTTCTAACTACCAGGCAGCGATGGGCGCCTATCAGAGGCAATTATGGAATAAGATTCTGTCAGTTCTTCAAGCCACTCCTGAAGAAACTAGGACCATTGCTCCCAATGCTCACTTGGAAGCGACAACGCTGCCTAAACAACAATGTTTGGCGTCACATCATACAGCAGATGCAGCATCCAAGGCCATGACATTGGCCATTGCTCTCAGGAAGCACACTTGGCTGCATTCAGCAGGCATCAATGATGACGCTAGGTCCCGTATTGAAGAGCTTCTGTTTGACGGTGTCAGACTATTTAACGAGAAAACGGATGAGGTGATGGACAATTTACACAACATCCAAAAGACAGCTCACTCTTATTATGTCCAGCAACCCAAATACCAATGTTATCAGTGGCGCAGACCTTTCACCTCACAACAATCTTATCAATAACCTTATCATCAAGCCTATCGCCTGTACAAGCCTCCTGCTCAAGAAAGATCGGATCCTCCTCCATCTTCCTCTGCTACCACCTCTTTTCAGAGCATAGACTTCTAGTCAGTGTCGACAAACTTTCCGTCGCCCTGCCAAAAAGAATGAACGGTATCTTTGACTGTCTTCTGCTGAAACTCTCTATCGATCTATCCCACCTTCCCTGGCTAGCCTCCTTCTTCAACAAGTGGTCTGTCATCACCAAAGATTCTTGGGTGCTCACCATCATACGTTTCGGTTACCTGTTAGAGTTCTCAGATCTTCCTCCTGTCGGTCACTTCAAGATCACAGCTTGCTCACCTGCTCTAGAAAAAGAAGTTTCTTTTCTTCTCCAGAAGCATGCTATTCAACGCATTTCTTCTCAAGAAGCACCGGACGGCTTCTATTCCTGATATTTTACAGTTCCCAAAAAGAATGGCAGACTGCGACCAATCTTAGATCTCAGGCTTCTCAGTACTTAACTCCTTCCAGTGCGTTTCCAAATGGTCACCTTAGAGTTGATCATTCCTCTTCTTTCTCCAGGCGATTGGTTTGTGGTGATAGACTTACAGGATGCTTACTTTCATATTTCCATCCACGAGCATAATCGCAAATATCTCTGATTCATTTTCATGGAGTCAGTGTACCAGTTCTGTGCTCTTCCATTCAGGCTTGCCACCACCCCAAGGACCTTCAAAAGTGTCTAGCTCCAGTAGCAATCTACATGTGTCTGAACAATATCATGGTCTTTCCATATATAGACAACTGATTGATCATCGCTGGCTCTTACGCCAAGGCACAAGAGGACACAAGTTTTACTCTATGAACTATGGCAGATCTAGGCCTTCAGGTCAACTTTGCAAAGTCCCATCTTCAACCATCTCAGATCATGGACTACATTAGCGCGGTTCTGGACTCCAACAGAGCCAGGGTCTTCTTCCCTTCTGAGAAGATTTACAAATTGAATCATGCTATTCGTCCGTTCCACCCATACACCAGGGTTTCAGCTCATCACACGCAACATCTTATGGCTTCCACCATGTCTGCTCTTCCTCACGCTCAATTGAAGATGTGCTCCCTGCAGGTGTGGTACCTGTCTCAGTTCAATCCATTACCAGACAACTCTGCCAAACATCTGTGTGTGACTCCAGAGTTACCACATCAACTGATGTGGTGGACTTTCGTGCTGCATCTTCTAACTTCAAGCCCCTTCAATTGACAGTACAGATCACAACAGACACCAGCACGACAGGTTGGGGAGCGCATTGTGGCGTTCACAAGCTCCATGCCCTGTGGTCCACTTGAGAGAAACTGCTACATATCAATCTTCTAAAAATGCTGGCTGTAATCAAGGCTCTTTGTCCTTTCTATCCTCTGGTAGTCGGTTGCGGAGTGCAAGTGGCTACGGACAACATGACCACTCTGTATTATATAAACAAGCAGGGAGGCACTCACTCTTTGTCCCTCTTGTACGTAGCGATCCACCTGTGGGAGTGGTGCTATGATCATCACATATTTTCGATTGCCATCCATGTGTTGACAGAGGACAATGATGTAGCTGATCACCTGACCACTCAAATGCACAAATGGGTTCTCAACGACTCTGTGTTCGCCCATATCTGCAGCAGGTGGGGTACACTGGCCATAGACATCTTTGCAACTCAGAGCAACGCAAAGTGCAAAAAGTTTTGCTCTCAAGCAGGGAGAGGCAACAGTTCTTTGGTGACATGTTCATCGGGCTTTGGGCTTTGATATTTCTAGAACTAAGGACTTCCACAAATCTCCCAGACTGTTTGCTTCCACGGTCCTTGGAAAGGTCATCCGGTCTATTCTCAGAAAGTTTCCAGATGGATAGTTTCTGCTATCACTTTAGCCTGTGAGCTGGTTCGCAAGGTCCCACCAGATGTATTGAAGGCGCATTCCACTAGAGCTGTGGCTACCTCTACTGCCTGGCTGTGTGGCATTGAAGTCTCTGACATTCGTCAATCAGCTACTTGGTCTACACTATCAACATTTGTTACACATTACAGGCTGGATGTCAGAGCCAAAAAGGAAGCAAGTTTTGGAAGGGCTGTGCTGACTTCAATTTTACTGCGACAGCCCGCCTTCCAGTAAGTGAGATTGCTACTTATTTGTAACCATGGTTCTTCAAGTGGTACTCTGTGAATCCACACGTCCTGCCCAACCTCCCCACTGTCCATCATGAGTTGTCTACAGCTTTCTAATTATCAGAGCTATGACAGCAATGGATGTTCGGAACGGAGGTACCACGGGCAGGCAGGGCATGCGCGCCACGGGGATACGTTCCATTGGTCAGTTATTTAAGCTCTAGAATATTCTGAAGAGTCCTGCGCAGGCGCAGTTTCACCCATTTGTGTGGATTCATAGAGTACCACTCGAAGAACTATGGTTACAGGTAAGTAGCCTCTCTTTTTCTTTCATCCACCTTGTCATTGCTTCAACAGAGGCAACAAGACACAAGGCAGGACCATGAAACAGAGTACAAACCACCAGTTGAACCATGTGATAATCTTCCTCCATCATGGAGGGAGGCCACAGCCTCATAAAGTGTAAAACAGAGATGGGCATGAATTAATTTTGGCCGCTTCATATGAAGCAAGCCATGCGGCACCACATGTGCTACGCAGACCCACCCCCTGGGCAAACTAGCCCACTCAGTATCCATCGTGCTCCAATCAGGCATTTGCTCGGGCTGCCCTTCCTCACTTCCTCTAGCAGCCAACCACTCATCAGCTGTCCCACCTCTTTGTCAGAGTGGTCAGCTGCCAGAGGAGGCAGGGAGGGGCAGCCCAAGGTCCTGCCAGGACTGGAGCACCACCAGAAACGGAGGCCCCCAGTAGGGCACAATAGATTGTGAGTAGGCCAGATGGTCCAGGGGGTGGGGGGAGGATCCATGTGATACATGAGGTGCCCTGTGGCTTAGTTTTTACAAAGCAGCTCAAATTAATCCATGCCCATTTCTAGTGCAAAAGGAACTAAGTGCATAGCATTACAGCACAAAAATAATTAAAGTATGCTTAATTAAGTTACAATCACAGCATAACTTAGTTATACTTCCATTATTAGAAAATAACTCTGGCTGTTATTGATTTAAATGCCTGTCAGTGCTGTGGCAGAGAGATTCAGCCTGAACATAGCTAACCTACACTTTCCTCACAATGGATAGGTTGCATCAGAACAGCCTCAATTGAGTATTCTTTCTATGTACTCTGAATTGCTAGGGGAAGGGCATATATGAGCTCCTGCCACTGCTGTGTTGCCTTGCTCAGAAGCAGAATAATGTCTAATCTGGGTCCAAAGTCTTGTGTGTACATGCTTTTGCACAACAAAATAAATAGTAAGAGTAATTTCCTTCTATTTAGACAGACATAATGTTAAAAGCTCTACACCTTGCATTTGCTCGTAAAGTTCAAAAAGGCTGCTGGACTTGCAGAGATTTGTAAAGAGGAACCCTGAGTTCCAATCCCCATTCAGCCCTAAATTGAATGGTGTCTGTGGATAAGTCACTATCTCTTAGGCTCAGCTTAATAGCAGGATTAAAATGTACATTAAAATGCATTATTTACTTTGTATATTTCTAAAAGATAGTCTATGTATTTCATCACACTCTGGTGTCCAAAAAATGGAACCTAGAGTAGAGGTATAAATGTGAAAGTGAAAATAACCATGCTGCCTTGAGATTTTTTATACATACTGAAAAATGGGAATAGCTTAAAATAGTAAAATGAACACTAAGAACTTTAAGAAACCGGATTTCAATAAACTTAGGGAAATAGTAGTTTACTGGATGGCTCAGTGAGTAGGGTGCCTTCATGTGGAACCAGAGGTCGCAGGTTTGATTTCCTGCTTTGCCTCCCAGGAGAAGAGCTAGACTATGTAGCAAGCTACATGGTCCCAGAGCATCCTCAAAAGGAAATGGTAAACCACTTCTGAATACAGTGGTGCCCCGCATAGCTATTTCGCTATGTGAAATCTTCGCTAAGCGGGAAGTAAAAAGCCATTGGAACGCATTAAACTTCATTTAATGCGTTCCAAATTGGCCCTAAACTTCTCACTTATAGAAGTTTCCTGGCCCCGCGCGGTGTTTTCGCGCCCTCGGCAAGCGAGGGGAGGGCGCGAAAACGCCGCGTGGGGCCATTTCGGGTCGTCCGTGGCCGTTTTGAAGCCGCAAAACAGCTGTTTTGCGGCTTCAAAACAGACCCGAAATGGCCCCGCGCCGCATTTTCGTGCCCT